CTATAAAACCTATATAGTCTTTTTAAGCAAGTATTAAAGAAGTGTCAAAAACAATTTTGAAGTAAATCTATGCAATAGTTTTTTTTTTATAACAATTTTTCTCGTCCGGGTCCTTTGGACTCGGGTGTGGTAAGCGTGTTACACCAGGAATGGTGATGAACAAAGATTAACATTGTTTTTGTTTTACAAATTATCAAATACGGATCATTTTGTTGATCACTTGATATTTTTGATTTGAATTTTTAACGTTACAATTATTAATCATTTAATTCGTTCATTTATACAGGTTATTGACATCAAAATGAATGAATTGTTGATATCATTGTAATCTGCATAAGAATGCAAATAACTATTATGTTTCTTTTCTAACCTCACTTTATAGAAGAAAGAAAGGAAGTAAAAATTTTTTATTTATTCATAATTTTTACATAAATTTATTCTTAACGTGTCGCGTTGTAATATCATTTGCACATTGGTTGTTTACATAATTTGTTTTGGTTTTTGTCTTTTTTTAATTGAATATTGCTGCTGCAGTGCATGCGTGTACATGCATATGTGTAGTAACGTGTGTGTAAGTATAGTAATTTGCGTCAGAGTCGCGTTAATGTCTCAGAAAAATCGATTAGAAAGTAAATATTTACAGAAGAAATAAAATAATATGAAAAATAATAATAATATAAACAGTGTATATATATATTTTGTTATTCTTTTCCATGGTCATTAGATAAAACTATAAGCAATAATTATCATCAAACTTGCTCAACTTTTTCTTTTTATACAATACTTAGTGATATTAAAAGTTCCTTTTTTTTTTTTTTTTTACAATTTTAATATCGTTTTACTTTTTTATTTTTTTATTTTAATAATATATATGTGACACCAGACGTATTGAAATTTTTTTTTTATTTGCTTGTCCTTCTTTTTCTTTTGTATCGTTTTCTTCTTTTCATCTAGTGCCTTTCCTTTCTTTTCTTTTTTTTTTATTTTTTTTTTTTTTTATCCATTCATATTTGTTGACAGTGTCTCGCAGTTGTTTGTCGTACTTTGCTCGATCGTCATCATCGTCATCTTGATTAAATCATTAATAAAAATGAATTTTATTTTTACAGAAAGACAAAATCTTACTTGCATGTATTATTTGCGTATATATTTAAACAAAAATATCTTATTATTATTATTATCTTTTTATCTTTTTTTTTTTTTTTTACTTATGAATAAATCGAATAATTAATTCTGCGCAACGATGCAAAATTATTATCGCAATTTTTCTTCTGCTTTTTTTTTATTTGTTTTAATTTTTTTATTTAAGAAATACAAAAAAAGAAAAAAACTCACCAAACGGCTATGTGTGACAGCCGTTGATTTGTGTCTCGTCTCTCTCTTTGTTTTTTTCCACAATTATAAGGAAAAATAAATCATAGGATACTTGATGTATTCATTCATTTTTTTGTTTGTTTCTTAACCACTTGCGCTATAAAGACGTGCCACGCACGTCGTGATGCTTTTGTTTCAAAACAACGAACGACGTGTACACCACGTCGATAGGCTTGGTGAACACGTGGTGTAAATAGATTTATATTATTCCCATTATATCAATCAATATTGTAAAAATGTAAAATAATAGTAAACTCAATGATATTGTTTCAAAAAAGTGCAATATTGTATCGCACATAACCACAACCCTTAAGTTAAAACGTAACGCAAGTGGCTAATTTTTTGTTTCTTCTTCACTCTCTCTTAATTGAATAAAATTTATTATCATCGATCATAATCAATTTTCATCGTAATTATTTTCACCGAATTATCATTCGAATTGGCTACGTTTTTATTATCCTTATGTGTCGTTTTGGTTGAAGAATTAAAAAAAAAAAAAAATGGACGTAAGGGACATATGAACAAACAAAAAAATTCTCAACCAACGAAGATTTCATCGATTTCCTTCTATTTCGATAATTAAATCGATAGAAATATTAATAATATTATTCATTCGCTTCATTATACATGTAATGTTATCAATGATAATAATAAAAAAAAAAAAAAAAGAAAAAGAGATTAGAATGTTCGATATTAAAAAAAAAAAAAAAAAGAAACAGGAAAAAAAAATAAGACAAAAAGAAAAAAAAAAGAGAACAGATGAATTATTACAACCTGTTCTTAATAAATATACGTTATTATTTAATTAAATTTTTCTTCATTCCTATACATCTTTAATAAAATAATGGACAAGAGTCTATTGTAAGAGACTATGCGTGTATGCGTGTGCGATCGTATGAAAGAACAAAAAAATGATTATATATTTCTTATCTAGTATAGAGTCATTTGTGTGGATGTGATTTAACGTTTCCAATAATGATAACAATAACAATAACTCGTTAAACTTTACTCTTCTTTCCTCATACCCCCCGCAAATTATGGTCTTTTAGAATGAATTATTTGTTTAATTTTTTTTTTTTTTATTATTTCTTTATTTGATAATATATACATATATATATATATATATTTCATTTGATTTCATTTATAATTTAATCGATCAAAAATGTTTATCTGAATTCTATGCATTTCTAAATTTATATTAGGTCGAGTCATAAATAACTTCTGTTTTTAATGAGACAAAGAATGGCGTTTCTATGACTGATAAGTGCAAGACACCTTTCATGGAGTTTTTTTTTTTTTGCACTCTTTGCAATTGTTCAACGTATCTATTGGATTTTGCTCTCAATATTACCTTTAAAAGGTTCATCAAAGTCGAAAATACGTCCCCTGCACTCGGTTCATCTTTTAAGATCGTATCTCCAGAATGGAATTTTACAAATCAATTTCTAACTGTCCTATCAGTTATCCAGTCCTGCACTGTATAAGCTGTATATTTTTTCAGTTGCCACCTTAGTGCTATTGCCTTGTTTCAATTCCTAAAGCATTACATGTTGAATATGCACTTTTGGAAGTGAAAACTTCTTTAGAATGGGTGCGATTTGAAACAATGTAACGGAGCGGTAGGCGGCTATGTAACGGAGCGGTGAAAGGCGATGAAACGGCCGTGATACTAAATAAGAAGAGAATACAATTATCCTACATCAGATATTTTTATTTTGTATTCGTCTCATTCTCTCGAAACTTARTTTTATTGAAGATTTCACTTCTAACACGTGTGATCTTTACYATCCATTTCAGTGRTTAAGAAAAMCGGTTAAATGTAACATTGACTGCATAAAAAAGTTAACAGAAGACTAAACTGAATCCTCATCTATACAGTGATATCGAAAATTCGTTTGTTTCGGTGACTTATAATAGGTAAATACGAAAAATAGATTCTACATAGCCCCATCGGAAGTTATTTATGACTCGATCTAATATTTTTTTAAATATTAGATACACATGCATTCAATATTTTGTGATATTAGGGTTATATTAATATATTCTATTAAATATATAATCTATATAATTAAATAATAATAATATATTAGTTAAAATTAATATTGCAGTTGATGTGTTGTGTATATTATGTACGTGTATAATTTTTATGTTATATTTATATTAATAACTATAATAGTACAATATTTAATTAATAATATTATAATAATTATAATATATTATTTTTTTATTATTAAATAATTGTAATATTAATATTAATATAAATTGATATTAAATTTTTAAATTAATATATATATATATATATATAGCATTGCAGTTATTAATGCAGTTATTGTATAATATGCATGTGTATGATAATGTTTATCTAAATGACAATAGTTATCATGATCTTTAATCTCCTATCATGTTATTTAATTCATTATTGAATTTTTTACCTTTGATGTTTGTTCGTTATTATCTTTTAAAGATCTTACTGACCTTTTCATTATTTGTGATAAGTTAAAATCTTTAATTTGATATTACACTAGTATAACATTTTTGCAAGTTATAAAATGAAATTAAGACTTTAGTCGTTTGATTTTTAATATTAATTTAAAAAAAAAAAAAAAAAAATAAATAAATAAATAAAAAAAAAGTTGATAGTTCAAACTATTTTAAAACTTTTTCAGAATAATAATAAATATATCACATAATGTATTTTTTTGATAACATTCAGTAATTATATACAAAATGTTACCACATTCATTGCAACAACAACATTGCAACATTTTATTACCAGAAAATTATTACAACTGTCCTAGTTTCGCAAATAATACTCTATATACATTAAATATATAATTTTCTTTTCGATAATGATCGTAACTTCTAATGTTTACGAATTAATATTTCCAATGTGTTCATATATATATATATATATTCAATATTTCTATCAATTGCATAAAAATACCATGGACATAAGAGAAAAACCTGTTATTTTAATAACATTTTCCATATAAAAAGTTATATAGTTAATTTATAAATTATTCATTAGTTACAAATTATTTTGTTCTATTTCATATCATTATTATTATGATTATTTATTTCTCACATTTTATTACTCGAGTATTATAATATTTAATAATTTTAAAATTCAGCATAAAAAATATATATATATATATATGAAACCAATTACATAGAGAGAAAAAGACAGAGAGAGAGAGAGAGAGAGAAAAAAAGCAAGAGATAAGAAATTCGTTGATTAGTATAATCATTGGACGATAAAACACGTTTGAATAAAGAAGAGACAAAGACAATTCAAAGTCCATTGATGTTGGTATTGAAATGAAATTAATAGATACTATTATCTAATCTGATTAAATATGTTGAAATAATTGACATACCGGAAAAATTGCGATTAAGTGTTTTTTTTTTTTTATTTGGTTGGTGATTACATGGTCATATGTGTTCTTTGTGTTGTTTTTTCTTATTTTTTTTTTATTTCTTTCTGTTTATTGTTCTTTTTTTTTTTTTTATCTAATAGTTTTTTTTTCTTCTCCTCTTTTACAGATTTACGTCGAAAGAATTAAAGAAGATTTAACGCGAATAATAAAAGAAAAGAAGAAGAAGAAGAAGAAGGAGAAGAAGAAAAAAATAGGCCAAGAGGTGGAACGATGGAAGTTTTAATACACGAGGCCTCGAACAAACGAGAAATAATCGATGGAAATTCAACGATTAATAATCATCATAATGATATTAATTTAAATGGCAACAAAATCACTATGACGGATCGTAAGGAAAAGGATGACAATGATTTGAACGCATCTTATGCGAAAAATATTAATGATGTTGATATGGTCGATATTATTGTTGAAAATCTTACCTATACCGTTTCACTTGGATTCAGAAAAGGTATGATTAATTAGACTTTTTATTACAAATATTCAAATACAATCTAATTATTTCACATTTTCACAAACAATAGAATATATGTTAATATATTTTCATTATAGTAAATATACAAAATAATATGTTCTTATCTTATTTTAAAATGTATGCATCATTCACATCATACTAAATAATTCTTTATTATTATTATTATTATTAACTGGCATTAGGAACTGGAAAGTTCATTGCCACAAATACCAGATCCTGCCATTGTTCCCGTCCCTGAACACGATCCTTTTATTCACGGTCTTCGTATCCTATTTCTTTCAGGTCCCTTCTAATATTATCCTCCCATCTACGTCTCGGTCTACCCAGTGGTCTTTTCCCATTTGGTATACCGACCAATATTTTGAACCAGACCCAGATCTTTAGTATTATCTATGAATATTTTTGCGTTATTAATTAATGACTCTTCATTGTCCCCAAACAAAGCAATATCGTCCGCGTATGTCAACAATTGTGTTGTCCCGTTCAACTGTAAACCATCTTTACTTTACTGCAGTTCTTTGACACCAAATTCCAGTACTAAATTGAACAAAAGGGATGACAATGCGTTCCCCYTGTTTTAACTCGCTATGGATATTAAAATCTTCCGACATTTGGTTACCTAACCTCACTTTACTCCTACTTTCCTTTAGGCAAAGTTGAACAAGGTTGACCAATTTTCTTCTTGGTATTCCCCTGTCGTATTAGGATTTCGAGCATTTTTTTCTCGTTTTATCGAGTCGTACGCTTTTTGAAAATCTATATTAAGTTGATGTACCGGTTGATTTAATTCCCATTTTTTCTCTAAGATCTGTCGAATAGCAAAAATGTGGTCTGTAGTCGATCTATTTCTCTTAAAACCGCACTGATGATCTCCTATTATCTCGTTCGCAYACGGTACTATCCTAGCTAGTAGGATGTTTGATAGTATTTTGTAACACGTCGGTAAAAGTGAAATACATCCCGGTAATTATTACAATCCATTTTGTCTTCCTTTTTTAAAGATTTGAATTATAATCGATTCTTTTCATTGTTCCGTCAATGTTTCCTTGTTCCATATTAATTCGATTAGCTCAAAAATATCTTCGATCAATCTATTTCCCCCCTCCTCCCCTCCCCTGCCCCCTCCATTTTATTAGCTTCGCAAGAATCGAGTCGTTATTCGGTGATTAATGATTTTTAAAATTTGTTAATCGCCCTTTTTTACTTCTAACATCGTTGGTTCACTAACCATAGGTTCCACCGTATGGAACTCGAAATTCTAAGTTTCCCGATTGTTTTAATAATTCTTTAGTGAAAGTATATTAAAAATCATAAAAATGTGTTCTTCTTGTGTAACAAAGTATTGGTCAAAAATTACAAGGTCGATTTATGTAACGTAATCATATAATTAAAAACAACTAAAGAAAAGGAAAGAAGAAGAAGAAGAAGAAGAAGAAGAAAAAAAAAAAGAATAGTCTTGAATATTTAATTACTTATTATTTATTTCTTACTGTTCCAATGAAAAGATGATGCAATAAGAAAAGGAAGAAAATTTTACAAAAAAAAAAAAAAAAAAAAAAATCTGATAACATATGAAGAATCAAACGAATGTAATTGTTTAATGTATTGTCTTACATAATTTTTCTTGTATACGTTTTATTATATCACACTTGTTTCATATATATATATATATATAAAACTAGTTATGTGATATAAATTAATTTCAATCAAATCCTTTATCATTTTATTTATGATCTTTTCTTGTTTTCTCTCTGTTA